TTGCACTTCACAAATGTTGTATATTTAGCAAATTGATGGCAAGACCCTAAAAGAAAAAAAATTATGACTTGCTTTACTGTGATACTTGCTTTATTGAGGTGGTCTGGAAACAAACCCACAAAATCACCGAAGTACTCCTACACTTATCAACTCATTAAGTTTTGTTCTTAACCTGCATCACCCAACTGCCTAGTGAACATCTCTGGGATACATTCCTAGATAATTCTTTCCCACCTGTACGTATCTTCCCAACCTCTGTAATCTACTCTTTTTCCTCCATTTCTTTAATGCTAGACAATAGCATTACCCTTCATCTGGGAAGCCATTCTTAAAAATAAGAAAAGCCATCTTCACCAGCCCTTCTTGCTCCCCACTCAGGGGACTTTCTCCTCACATTTGACTCATCTCACTCTTGCTCCAAAGCAGGAAGGTGATAAAGAGAACCACCTCTTGAGGCAGACAGACTTGAGTTTGAAATCTGCTCATCCATTTCAGCCTTGAATGACCTCGGGCACATAAATGTCTTACACCTTATTTCTGTTCTCCTATAAAATGGTTATAAAACTAGTACTAACCACACAGGTTATTATGAGATTTAAGTGAATTAATTCATGTAAAGAACTTAGCACAAAATCTGGCATGCAGTGGTTGCCTTCAAAGTTTTGAAAGCCATTCATTTTGGAATTTTATTCCTCTGCTGACTTCATGTTGTCTGCAAAACTTCTGATCATATTTCCTAACTCTTTATTGCAGACAAATTTCTTAAATTCTTTGAATGCTGTATGACAAAGGTGATAGTAATAGTCCTTCTGACATATAGGTCAAATAATTTTAATTGTATGTGCTTTTTTACACATTTGGAATCACATCTTTTAAACAATAAACACTGGCAGATTAGCTTTTGGTCATTTGTAAACTTTATTAAAAATTCTCAATAATTTTAATATATGTTACTAAACATAATAACATATTAACATAATTTTAATAAATAAAATTAAATCATTAATAAATGTTTAAACACACCTTCATTTAAAAAAAAAGATTAAAATCTAAGTACAACATCCTCATCAACATGTTGTTACTAGAGATTCACATTCAAAATAGCTTACCTTTTGTTATAAAGTTTGCTAGAATGGCAGTCTCTAACAGCTGAGTTTGAACTGGAGGAAAAGAAACTGCTAGGGTGGTTGTTGGCCTATGGGCTTTAATGGCCTCCCCCACCCCACCTGTCAAACCAACATTCACATTCTCTTCTTACTAATCCCTTCTTAAAGCTAAATTCAACTGCCCCTTATCCAGGGCAAAGGTTCAGAGTGAGAGGGAAAATAAGGACATTACTAACCCTGACTAGTAAATGCAACATTATTCCACTGCCTACTCTCGGCCATCCATCATTCTCAGCACCTCTTCCTAGTTCACTTTCCAGTCTTTTCCAATCATTACCATTGAACCCAAACACTGACATCAATGAACACATCAAGGTGACTGGGAAAACATTCCATTGTGATGGCAGCAGGTAAATGAGAACATGGCTAGTATTGTTACTTTGCCAAAAATTGTTCAGTGAGGTACCTAGTATTCAATACTAATTTTCTTCCATGACAAGAGTCAATGGCAGAGTCAGGTTACACTTAAGATTACTTGAAATTTAATAGCAGATAGCTGGTGGTAGAGTCTCTTTTACTGAAGGTTCCTTCCAAGGAAGACATTATTTGGGATAGCAAGAATAAAAGATTAAGAGATGAATGGGCAGAGAATCAAATCAATGATTTGGAACATAAGAAAAAAAACAATCAGAAAAATAAGAAGGAAAAAGAATCCAAAAAAATGAGGATAGTGTAAGCAACCTCTGGGACAGCTTTAAGCAGTCCAAGATTTGCCATATAAGGGTGCCAGAAGGAGAAGAGAAAGAGCAAGTAACTGGAAATCTATTTGAAAAATAATTAAATAAAACTTTCCTACTCTGGTGAAGGAAACAGACATGCAAATCCAGGAAGGACAGAGAACCCCAATTACAATGGATGCAAAGAAGCCCACTCCAAGACACATTATAATTAAAATGCCAGAGGTTAAAGATTAAGAATCTTAAAAGCAGCATGAGAAAAGAAGTTAGTTACCTACAGGGGAGTTCCCACAAGACTGCTGGCTCATTTCTCAAAAGAAACTTTGCAGGCTAGAAGGGATTAGCAAGAAATACTCAAAAGTCATGAAAAGCAGGGACCTATAGCCAAGATTGCTCTACTAGCAAAGCTGTCATTTAGAATCTAAGGGCAGATAGAGAGCTTCCCAGACAAGAGAAAACTAAAGGAGTTCATCATCATCGAACCATTACTATATGAAATGTTAAAGGGACTTACTTAAGAAAAAGATCAAAACTATGAACAATAAGATGGTTAAAAAAATACATATCTATCAACAATTGAATCTAAAAAACAAACTAAGCAAACAGGAAGAACAGACAGAATCATGGATGTACAGAGAGTTTTGATGGTTGCCAGGTGGAAGAGGATGGTGGGGAAGTCAATGAAGAGGTGAGGGGGTGAAGAGGCACAAATAGGTAGTTACAGAGCCATGGGAATGTAAAGTACAGTATAGGAAATGGAGTAGCCAAAGAACTTTTATGTGTGACCCATGGACATGAACAATGGTTGGGGGATTGCCTGAGGGAGTGGGGGTGGCTGGGTGGAAAGAAGCAAAGGGGGTAAAATCGGGACAAATGTAACAGCATAGTCAATAAAATATAATTTAAAGTGAAAAACTGATCAAAATTAGTGAATTTTGTGCAGCAATTTTAATATTGAAGATGGAAGAAAATAAGCAACATTGTCAGTGTATTATGCTTTATTATTTCAAAAAAGGTAAAAATGCAACTGAAATGCAAAAAAAAAAAGACTCGTGCAGTATATGAAAAAGATGCTGTGACTGATTGTGTCAAAAGTGATCTGCAAAGTCTCTACGTACTATTGATAATTTTGGCCAAATAATTCTTTGCTGTGGATCTGTCTTATGCATTGGAAGATGTTTAGCAGCACCCTTGGCCTCTACCCACTAGAAGCCAATAGCAGGAGATAGCCGACATATTCAAAATATCCACATCCATAAAGTTATTAATGAAGATGAAAAAAGAGATAAATGGTCATATCTGTTATCCTCCCCAAATTGCTATACTTTACCCAGCTGTATATATAACATGATCCTGCGTGTATCCACCATAGATGGACTAGACATCTTTTACAGAAACTAAAAACTCACTCTGGGCTGTATATTCCAGAAAATTCATCACTTGCATGAGAGCTAATTAGGAAAAGTAAAAATCATTCAATGTTTCCATCATGCTTGCAAACAAAAATATAGTCTTTAAATATTCCTGTGTGGACCCAACACATATGGATAGGTCCAAAAAAATATAATCAAGGGACAAAGGATACTCTATGAAGAAAGCCAGTTTTAAAAGAGAAAAAATAGTTGTGTTTGCAACCACACTGCTTCTCCTGTGAAACAGAACCCCCAAATAGATGGAAATGTGTTTATGTGAACTGCTGGCCCTGGTGTGTCCCATAACAAAGAAATGCAGTTGTGGCTCAGTTGCAAAGTCCTGGGCCCTTGTTTTCCCAGTGGTCTAAATCAATCCCCAGCCCAGGGTGAGAGGCTGAGCAAGATGCGGAATTATTTCAGGCCACTAGGGTAAGCTCTATTCCTGGCAGTTCTGTAGGCAGTACCATGGATTAGGGTTTCTAATTCTTTGGTGATTTGGTTCTGTGTAAACTGAGATTTTTTTCTTTTAGCATTTCAGACAGATAAGCAGGAAAGGCCTGCTCCAGTCCTGAGCAGGAGGCAATCAAGGTCTATTTCAGTTCCTTTTCTGTGCAGTTCAGTCTACTTTTCCCTGCTGCCCTCCCTGACACCTGTCCTTATATTTTTATCTGATTATCACATATCTATGAAAGTTTGGCAGCTTCTGGTGCTCACTCAGTCATCCAAAAGCATCTTAGCCTAAGGAATGCCAGGAATACTCTGCAAAGTGTGTCCTTGAGAGGCCAACCTAAGATTCCTGGCTGTGGACCACAAAGAAGTGTCCTATGGGCATTTTGAGGGTGAGGCTGAGACCAACCCCTGCTCTCACCAGAAACAGTACCAACTGATTGAACTTGCCTGTTACCAATCTCTAATTCCTGGCTTTGCACTGCAACCCGTAGTATACTCAGTTGTTATCTAACATAACAAGGGACAGGCAACTCTTGTCACTTCCATACTGGAGATGGTGAAATTGAGACTTAAAAGTGTAGACGAGTTGTCGAAAGAGGATTCAACAAAGCAATGTTGTAACTGGAAAGATCAGCTGACACCTGTACCTGGTTTTGTAGGTCACAGACTCTAAGTTTTTGAGCAATGTTTCACTTACCATATACCTCCTTGAAAGCTCCCGTTTACTTTCTTAAGCTGTGGATACCAATGGAGAGGTACCAGGTGTACATTCCAGACACTTACCTGATATATACACAGACTGAGCCGTCTGCCTGTTGGGTATACAGCTCCTGGCTAAAAAATTTCTAAGGTTGATAGAACAAATGAGTCATTAAGGGGAATGGCCTCTGATGTACAAGGAAATAGCCTATAATCAGAGACAGATTTAAAACACCCTCTCCATTATTACAAATAAAAACTAACCAATTGATTCCGTGCTTTTTTCAAACTGTATTACTCTTCCCCTACATCTAAATGCAAACACATGTGCTTTGAAATAAGTAGGTGTCAAAGAACACCCTGCACAATTATATCTAGGCTGCTTCCGATTTATATCACAGGCATACATATATCTGGAGGATATTAAGTCATGATGACAGCGAGCATGACAAATGCAACAAAACACAAATTCGAATGCTGAAAAAATACAATTACAAACCCAATGCCGGTAAACACGCACACAGGAGTTTTCCCTCGACACACACGTGGCCACACTTACAGACGCTTAACCACCTTGATACACCCCAAACACAAACCCAGAAGGCTCCACCGCCCGAGACCTGTCTCCAAGCATTCTTGCAGACGCGCCTTCATCTCCAGGTGGGGACTGTCGCAGGTCCCTGGGGACAGTAGCACTGCCACCGCCAACCCTTGCGCAAGCACACGAGCACCCTGCGCCCCCCGCCGGAGAAGCGGCGGGCCGGGGCTGGGTGCTGGGCCCGGTGGGGCGGGAGCGCCGCAGGGCCGGGCCTCCGCGCCAGGGAGGCGACAGGGGCGGGCGCGGGGCGGTGCCCGGCTCACGTGGGCGGGCGGGAGTAGCTGAAGGTCCGTTCGGAGCCCGGGCTGTCCTCTCGCGCGCGGCGCTGGCCAGGGCGGCGGCGGCGGCAGCGGTGGTGGTGGTGGTGGTGGTGGAGGAGGAGGAGGAGGAGGAGGAGGAGGAAGGCGGCGGTGGCGGCGGCGGGGAAAGCAGAGGGAAGGACGGGGGCGGCGTCGGACTGGAGCCGAGCGGCGGCGCGAGCTGCCCAGGGCGCGGTCGAGTGCTCGCCCGCCGGGCCCCCACCCCCGAACTACACCCTGCCGTGCTCAGCTCTGCCCGCATTCGTGCCCCCGCGGGGAGCGCGCCGGGGCTGCCCCCCGAATGACGGGCGGAAGGTTCGACTTCGACGATGGCGGCACCTACTGCGGCGGCTGGGAGGAGGGCAAGGCGCATGGGCACGGCATCTGCACGGGGCCCAAGGGCCAGGGCGAGTACTCGGGCTCCTGGTCGCACGGCTTCGAGGTGGTCGGAGGCTACACCTGGCCCAGCGGCAACACCTACCAGGGCTACTGGGCTCAGGGCAAGCGGCACGGGCTGGGGGTGGAGACGAAGGGCAAGTGGATGTATCGGGGGGAGTGGTCACATGGTTTCAAGGGGCGCTACGGGGTCCGGCAGAGCCTGTGCACCCCCGCTCGCTACGAGGGTACCTGGAGTAACGGGCTGCAGGACGGGTATGGCGTGGAGACCTACGGGGACGGAGGTGAGCGGCGTCGCAGGGAGCTGGGAAGGCTGGCGCGGTGGGCTTTGCCTGGGTTAAGGGGCGGAGGGGGGGGGGGGGGGGGCAGGGACGCGAGGCGCACGTGTACGGAAACCCGCCAAAACACCTGGGCAGCCTCCCACCCAACCCCGCTTGCGCCCTAGTCCTGAAGGTGCGCTAGGATGCCACTGGTGCGCAGAGGAGGGGGGTTGACCTGACCCGGTTCTGAGAGCAGGCGCTGTGTCCACAGCCGGGGCAGCCAGGCGTGACTATACCTGGCCGGCGCCAACGCAGCACAGCCGCGGGAGGAAGCGCGGCCCGGGAAGGTTGGGCTGGAGAGAGGACGCGGTCACTTGAGCCCGTCACATTACGTTCCTGATCCCTTCCTCTCCCTGCCGGGTTTGAAATCACTACTACCCTGGAGTTAGAGCGAGCGCCCTGAGCTTTCGAGGTTGGCGGTCGGCGCTGACCGCTCCCAGATTGGTTTCATACGGAGTCGTATTTCGCTGCTGGTCCTCTGGTAGCCTAAAGATAGAAGCCAGAACCCCATAACTAGGATGTGGGGGAATGGCACCTTATTTGGGGTGCATTTGGAAACATCCTAGTTATGGGAGCGAAAAGGCCACCTGATGCAGGAGCAGGCCTCAGGGTGTGGGTTTTTGTTCTTAGTTTTCGTAAGGTTTCTTAAAGTATTCGGTCAAAACAGTGGTAGTCTTTGTTGACCTAGAGATCTATAGACAAGTTACCAGGAAAACACTTTAGAAATGAACACAGAACTCTATGTTTTAAAAAATACAATTGAGAGCTATAGTCCCGATAGTTAAGTTAGCAGCTGCTTTAATCCTGAGAATGACAGTGCTCAAAACTGACTTGCAAGGTGTATGGTGTAAACTGTATACTGGCTGTGAACAAAATTCACCTTATTTTAATATTTAATAATTTTTCCAAAAGAAGTTAGATATATAGTAGAGCATACTTTTTCAATTAGTTCAAATATACATTACTGACACAGGTGTCAGAACTTGATGAACTTCCTTGAGTAATAAGCTGAGAAGGATGAATGGCTTATGCTTTGGCAATATACATTTTCTGATAATAAACATAATCATAATTCATCAAAAAGGGTTGTAGGAGGTGATGTCACTTTTGGAATTATGCAGCTCAGAGTTGGAGGATATTAAAGGGATTCAGTTAAAAGTTTCTACAGTCCAGTACAACCCCAGCTAGGCCATTGCTTATATAAAGACTTATACAATTTGTGTACTTCACTTACTCAGAACATGGGCCATGTTCAAATGCAAAGTGGCAGAATGGTAACATTTGCTAAAAAGGGCATCTTTTTGTCCTATGGTACAAAGGATATTATTCTCATGTATTAAAAGGAAGAAAAAAATCTTTGAGTACTTTTATACGGGCTGCTTGGGTCCCAAGTTCTGTAGTAGTTCATCAGGGCCCTTAGATGTTTCAAATGGGCATAGGATGCCTTGGTTGGCTGCCCTGTCAATACCTTAGCTTGTGATTATATTTCATTGGAAGCACCTGCTCTTCAATACAACTAAATTCCATGCTCAAATGTGGAACACAATATTCATTTTTTAAATGTGTACAACATTTTATAACCTTTCAGGAAGGCTGTGAATACTTCAGTTTGGGAAGGTTAAAAATAAGTTAGTCTTCTTTTAACATTACAAGTCATTAAACAAAATCTCTTGGTTTAGAGCATTCATTATAGCTAGTAATCAAAATATATATAGCACAGTGAAGGTCATCTCTGTATATTTTGTGGAATCTCATATACATGTCCTGGCTGACTTTATAATCTGCCTCCTGTTTTAAAATTTAAAAAATTAAAATCCTTAAAATTTGGCATCACCATAGTACAGTGGTTTTCTTTTTCTACAAAACAACAACAAAAAAATCTAATATGCTATCAGTTAGGAAGGGGAAAAACATCCCTTAAAAGTCACAATTGAGTGTTTACTCTGTGCTAGGTGATTTCCTGCTTTCTTTAACTTGTCACTCTGTTTAATGAGAAAGTCTTCAATCATAAAAGGGGAGGGGATCTAACTGGAAGTGTGTGGCCATAACTTATTTCATACAAAGGTTTTGGCCCAAATAGGAAATACTACTTTCTATATTCTTACTTGACTTAGCTTGCTTTTGTTGTTGTTGTTTGTTTGCCTCTGCACAACTCTATGTCCGTCCCTCTGTCAGACAGACTACCCTCTGTCAGATCCAGGGTATTATCTACCCTCTGTCAGACTTAGGGGAAATGTGATTCCATATATTTTGTGATAACATTAAGTTAGAGGAGAAAGGAAGTAGTAATTCCGTGTGAGAAGTATCATGTGATTTATTACTGATTTATGTATAATGTGTTGCTGAAGGGAAACCCCTGAATATTACATTAGAATGAATTGGTTCCATACTCACAAAACCCAAGTTGAGGTACCCAGCACTTTTGGTGCAAATTCTGATCTGCTATACTTCATCTTTGTCCTCACCAGTTAGAAAACTATTAGAAGTATCTAGGAAGACCCATCATTGTTAACTGGATGCGTACTTGCGCACCCCCATCTGTAGCATAGAAACAGGTTTGGCATACGACAGTCTTAATTTGACTGGAACTCATTCTGAACTGGATGTCTTCTACTACAAAATGGCTTTATCTAGAAAATCAGCTCCCAGATGAAAAGTCAAAGAAGACTTTAAAACAAAACCTATAAAAGTCAGTTTTACACTTGTGAAATCTGCATCTATCTTTAAGGAATCAGGGGGAGCTTAATTAGAGCTTTATCTGAGCAGCAAATAAAGGCATGGACCCCATGTGCTTCATAAAGAAATAGAGGCCCTTTTTTTCTACATTCACTGACTAAACTAAACATAGTTTAAATTTCAGATGAACAGCTAACACTTTAACTCTAAACTGTTTCTGGAAAGTCCATGGAGGAATCCTTCCATATATTGTAATTTAACAGAATAGAATGGGAACGTGGCCACAATGTTCATCTTGCCTTCCCTACTTAACAGTTAACCAGAGACATAAACTTCCTAACTATTACTGTTGCCTTAAACTGCTTAGATTTTCAAGCAATACTTCTTTGAAAATTCTAAATATTAGTTTTACTTAAGGATATACTTAAGGAAACCAGTTGTTAATGTTCTCTCAGTGCCAAACATTTACTAGGATAGTATAGTTGCAATGTAGAAGTATAACTACTTACTGATTCTAACAGCACCTTTAGATATTCTTCTAGCAAAATTAACTTGTCATTATGTAGGAAAGTTAGAAGGATATAATTTTAGTGTTTCACATTTATTTAAAACAAAATATCTAAAACAAGGTGGTTTGTTTCAGTATGTGTAAGTCAGGTTGTATAACTTTTATCCTAGAATTTAAATTTTATCTAGATAGGCAAAGAAAAAGTTAAAGTTGACATTTCCTAGTAATTCTGTTACCTTCCCTGTTATGGTGATGATGTTTGCAGATGGCTAATATTCAGTAGAAAGTTTCTTATCTTAACATGTTCCATCTGACTGTCCTGCCCCTTTGGGCTTATCCTTTTGAGAAAGCTATGGCCCACCCATCTCCTCAGAAGTGCATGGATGTCTGGTTAAGACTTTCACATCTACCTACCATATGAGCCTCACAGTACCAGGCCTACTTAGTATTTCATTTTTGTCCTGCTGTTGTCTGTTTTGTGACATAAATATAGCAAAATAAGCTGTATAGTCTTGAAATTAGTTAAAACTTTTGATTTGGGAGCCATTGTGGTTTTAACTTTAAAATATAGCCCTTGTTAACACAATGACATATAACTACTAGCATTTTTGCTCAGAATTTTAAAATGACGTATACACCACATGATGGACATCTATATATGGCAATTTAAAATGAAAAGTGACTTCAAGGTCGATCTATAAAATTAGAAACAGACATAAAGACAGACTGTAATGATGATTTACTTTCTATGATCCTGTGAATTGTTACAAATACAGAAGTAATTGCATCTTAAAATTTCCATATAGCTTTGGGGAGGTACTATATTTTTTTTTATTTTGTACCCATTAGCTCTAATTTAGTGTTCAAATTATTTATTTTCATTTTTTCAATTACAGTTTATTAGTATTTTATATTAGTTTCAGGTATACAGTTAGTGGTTACACAATCATATACTTTACAAAGCATTCCACCCCAGTATTTCCAGGGGAGGTACTGTAATTTAAATATTGCCTTTAATGAAAGGATATGACCTTGATTTTGAAAAGAAAATTCTAAGTTCCATAATTTTAACATTCATTTACTCCTGAGATTATTTCAAAAACTGTATCAGGTTAATTTTGAAATGTCTTTGCTAATTTATTTAATAGAAAACCTTACTGAACATAAATACTTTAGAGGTTATCCTATTTCTGAAAGGGCATAATAATCATTGAGAAAGTGATCTGGTATCATAAAGTTTTAGGGAACCCTGTAAAACACATTTTTGCTCTGAGATGAATTCCATAATATTAAGAGTAAAAGGTTTCATTTGGCCTTATTTCAGTTTTTCTGAGGGTAAATAGTATATTCTTTTTAGCCACCATAGTTGTTTACTATACAGTTATCAGACACCTGCAAACAGAACACATAAGCCATGAGTTTAGAAATTTTATGTTCTCTTAGGGTAATTCCTACTTTCAGTGCTTCTAGTCCTTGCTGTGAGTCACAGTGCAGGGACAGAGGCTAGGGAAGTGGCAGGAGAAAATAGAAATTTAGCAAATAATGTGGAACAAATTTTTGCTTAAATATGTATTTTTTTAGGTATAGTTGACAAAATGTTGGTTTCAGATATACAACATAATGATTCCATACTTGTGTATCTTGTGAAATGATCTTCACAATAAGCCTAGCTCACATTCATCACCAATAGGGGACAAATCATACACTTTTCACCTGATGGTACACAATGTTAAAACAAATTGCCCATTTTTTCATGATGGTTCACTCTATTCAGGATATAGATTGTATTTGTTAAATCACTCTTAGCTCAGAAAGTTCCACCCAGATTTAAGTAATAATCCTAAATATTTTCATTTTCCCCACCACCCCCCAAAAATGGTGTGAACATGATAGAATTAAGACAATTTGTTTGATTACCCATCCTTCAGTAAGTCCTTCATCTTGTTGGAATGTTATACTGACAGATCCAAAAGTCATTTTTAGAATTTTTCAGCTAAATGAGAGTAATTAATAGTGAAATTAGAATAAAATCCACAGGTAGAACTCATTTCATCTACTATGGCACTGCATTTTAATTTTTTTTTACATTGAAATTTTCTTTTACTTTTTTAAATTACAGTTAACATTCAATGTTGGATTAGGTGTGCAACAGAGCAGGTTAGACATTTATATAATTTACTAAGAGGGATTTCTGATGTGTCGATTTCAGGGATGAAAAGTTGTTTTCCAATGATCACCCTTGGTATTCAAAAGTAGTAGTTTCATTTGAAACTGGTATAAATTTTTAGATGAGCAGCAAAATGACCAGACTATTAAGTTCCTGTATAATTCCAAAATAGACACCAAGTCACAGGGTGAGGATTCGCAAATGAAAAGCATCTGGTACAGTTGACTGGGAAGGCTATGGGATTTGACCTTGGGCCTTTCCACCCTGTGCGCCCAGATGCCCAAGTGCACTGCAGGTCCTGGCAAGATGGGGCACCTTCCTCCCTGGACTCATGCTGTGTTTTGGTCTCTTGAAGGTACCTACCAGGGCCAGTGGGCTGGTGGCATGCGGCATGGCTACGGAGTGCGCCAGAGCGTGCCTTATGGCATGGCCACGGTGATTCGCTCGCCCCTGCGCACCTCGCTGGCCTCCCTGCGCAGTGAGCAGAGCAATGGCAGCGTGCTCCACGATGCAGCGGCTGCTGCCGACAGTCCAGCCGGCACCCGCGGTGGCTTTGTGCTCAACTTCCACGCCGATGCGGAGCTCCCCGGAAAGAAGAAGGGAGGCCTCTTCCGCAGGGGCTCCCTTCTTGGGAGCATGAAAATCCGCAAGTCCGAATCCAAGTCTTCCATCTCCAGCAAGCGCAGCTCAGTCCGGAGCGATGCGGCCATGAGCAGAATTAGCTCCAGCGATGCCAACTCCACCATCAGCTTTGGTGATGTCGACTGCGACTTTTGCCCTGTGGAAGACCATGTGGACGCCACTACCACAGAAACCTACATGGGTGAATGGAAGAATGACAAACGCAATGGTTTCGGCATCAGCGAGCGCTCCAATGGCATGAAGTACGAGGGCGAGTGGGTCAACAACAAGAGGCATGGCTACGGCTGCACCGTGTTTCCTGATGGCTCCAAGGAAGAGGGGAAATACAAAAATAATATTTTGGTCCGTGGAATAAGGAAGCAGCTTATACCAATAAGAAATACAAAAACTAGGGAGAAGGTGGATAGAGCTATCGAAGGCGCACAAAGGGCAGCAGCCATGGCAAGAACCAAAGTGGAAATAGCCAATTCAAGGTATGTAAACACAGGGTGGGCGGTTTTGCTGGATCATTCCACACAGTGCTGTGTCCAATTGTGTTTGTCAGTCTGTTTGATTATGTCACCAAATAGGTCCTACAGCTGCCGGAATCAAAGGTGGCAAATGATTACGCCCAGTAGAAATATACCTGAACTGTTCTGAAACTTTCCGTCATCAAAAAATATTGAAGGTACATTGAGGTCCCTTTCCTATTATAAATTACGTCCCTTATCCTCAATGTGATGGAGTTCTGACAGGCCCGGTGTTTACTTTTCCAATCCAGAAAGTTACACTTATTTAAAAAGTACTCCTGAAGTACTGCCACAGAGAAGATGGTGCATCCACATGGAAACATACCTGGTATGGATGAGTCTCTTTGTCTTAATATTTCAGTTCAAGGTGTGTACAACTCTCTATAAAATTATTCTAATTTATAAAATTCAGATTCTGTTTTCTGATGCATTTTACGTGAAATTGGTTTTGAGAAAGCCACTGAGATCTAGATATGCAGAGGCAGGAAGTTACATATAAAATCTAGCATGCATTCTTGAAAACAACAGAGGTCATGTACATGGGAAAGGCAGAAGGACTAAAACTGTACAATATATGCAGGAAAGATTAGATCACTGGGATATTCTAAGGAGGGGGTGGGGACAGCTTGGGACTGACAGATGGGACTGTCACTGTGCCAAGGTTGGAAGAAAGTAGAGCAGTAGATATGAGCTGTAGCGTGGAGTGAGGAGCAGAAGGCGGGTGAATAATAGATTGAAAAGTAGGGTGTATGTGGGCATGGAAGGACTATGTATTTGAAGTTTTACCATTAATGGCTGGGTTCAGAGATTCAACAAAAGGGATGGAGAGATCTATTGGGAATAGAATTTTATTAGGACATCCATTCCTAATAAAATGTTACACAAAAAAGAAAAGGGAATGATAATAAGTGGAAATTTTTATTTTTAGGTTTATTTAAGTGGGTACAGACTGGTCATAGTTATGTGTGACTTGAGGCAGACATTTAGTATACAATGTCAAAAATGCTTTTCCTGTTTCAGTAATATTCTCCCGTAGAAGTAAACCTCCGAAACCACAAAATTAGCATGTCTTCAGGTTTTTATTCTTAGCATTGAATTAATGACCCCCTCCCCACATTTTTTTGGTCAAAACATGAAATTTGTGATATTTAAATTCTTTATGTACAAAAAAGTGACAATTTCATATGGTTGAACTTAATACTTCTAGACTTCTAAAGGTTTTGTTTTTTGTTTTAATGCCCCTATTTGATGACTACTGTTTACTTCTGAGTGTCTGAAACACTGCTTGGAAAAGAGATTTTGTACTATTTATATGTTATGTTAATTCATGTTATATTAAAAGTATTCAAAGGTTACTATTGTATCTCAAACCAGTCATTTTTCAAAAGATTTTATTTATTTTTAAGAGAGGTGAAAGGAGGTAGAAAGAGAGGGAAAGAAACATCCATATGAGAGCTAAACATCAATTGGTTACCTCTTGTTTATACACCCTGATCAGGGACCAAACCTGCAATCCAGGCATGTGCCCCGACCCAAAACTGAACTGGTGACCTTTCGCTTTGCAGATGATGCCCAACCAAGTGAGCCACGCCAGTCAGGGCAAACCAGTCCTCTTTCAAAGTTAATTAATTGGTACAAACTTTTATGAAGGGTCTCTCCTTTCTTCTCTGCCAAGCATCTTTTATTTTAGATCTTAGTTTTGTGTAATCACCGAGCAATTCATCTACCTGCTTTTCCATTTGCTTTGTAGATAGGATACTTGGTACATCTAATCTTGCTGGCTTCCCTGGCCCTCAGCTGACTCTAAATCTAGTTGCACACCTTTCTTTAAACCCTGGCCTCTAATTTTAAACATACTCCCTAATTCTCCCATTTTATTTTTACCTTACAACCTAGTGATATACTATAGGCAGTTCAATCTTGACAGACGGAAAATAAACCTGTGTGGAACATTCAAGCATCAAATGACTCTCACGCTTGCCATAATTACTGACTTTATGATTAGTTTGTATTGGAGGAATCTACATAACAAAAGGGAACTGCTTGTGATGTGAAGTTGGTCTCTGACTATAGTAGTATCATAAAACTGTTACCCAAGCCCTAGCTATGTTCTTGCTGCTGAAAGTCTTGGGGGTGCTATTATGTGGTTTTGGAATACTGTATTATAGTTAATAATGAAGAATCTTTTGTTAAGATATTATACTTGTAACTAGTCAACTTCATAAAAAACTTTATTTAGCTATTCCAAAAATGCTCAGTTCATTATGCTAACTGAAATAAGCCAGTGACAGGACAAATACTGCATGACTCTACTTATGTGAAGTATCAGAAGTGGTCAAACTGGTAGAAACAGAGTAAAATGGTGGCTGCCAGGGGCTGCATGGAGTGGGGACATGGGAAGGTAGGGTTCAACAGGTATAATTCCAGGTTAGCAAGATGAAGAAGTTCTAGAGCACTGTGCACAACATTGTGTCTGTTGTCACATGCTATTGTGCACTTGAAATTGTGTTAATAGGGTAGATCTCATGTTAAGTATTCTTACCACAATAAAAAAAATACTCTTTGGATGACACAATAGACCAGAAAAAACCCCACTCAGTTAACCCTTTCTATTTCACTTGCTTTCACCGTTTTTATCCCCGTGCCTTGCTTTAATGACTACTTCAGATATAGAGTTTTGCAACTTGTTTTTTGTAGGAAGTAGCTGAAGGACTGGCATTCTCTCTATACTAGCTCAGAGTTTAGAGTTCTACATTCTTTTTCTTAACATTTTTTTAAAGGGAAAAAAGATTTTGTTAAGTTTTTGGAGCTTGCTGCTTGGGAAGGACTTCTAGCTGTCTTACTGTTATATCCCTGGTTCTTTCTAATGCCTGAGTATCTGCCCAGTCCTTCTGGCCCCTCTTGTAGTTGTTGTTATTAATGTTTTTGTTTTAAAACTATCAAAAGTTTAAGAACATAGACACACTCCCCCTTTGCTCCCCTCTACTACCGCCCTGATTATGGCAGAATAAGAACTAGAAAGTGCCACTCCAGCAGCTGCCACAGTTGAAATGAATAGTTTGCGATGGGCAACAAAAGGAGATGACCAGTTAATAGTTATTGACCATTTCAGTTTGCCACCCAGATAATGCCAGTCATTGTTCTATTGCTGTAATTTCTTATGCTATAGAGCTTTTGTTTCTGAAGCCTCAGGGAAATGACTTTTGTATCATCACCTCATTTCATCTAGAAGCAAAGCTTAAGGTTAGTGCTGATAATGTTTCCTCCAGTAACACCTCCCCAGGGAAATTAGGAGGCACAGAATCACCACCCTAGGCCCAAAGATTTAGGAAAACAAGGTAGGTCTGTGGACTTTCCCTTTGCTTCTTTGAAGAGGACATGATATGTCTCCCCAGTAAACACACAAGAGGCTTATTTCTGAAAACTTCATATGGCCCCTGTGTAATTGTTACAGATCAGGGAATGTGAGATGATATAAGTCAGCAGAGACTAGGAATAATGCAGAAAATATAGAATTGGTAGACACCTCTAGGCACCAGTAGGTTAGCACTTCAAGAGTTAAAACTATAAGGGATGTTCATGATTTGCTGACCTCCTATCTAACTTTTCCTTAGGTTTCTGGTCTATTCCCAAAAGTGCTATGTTTATAAGAATTAACAAAATGTTTTATTCCCCTCTTGTCTTGGTCCCAAGGATAAAAATTATCCCCTGGAATTGAGAAAGATTCTCAACCTTGTCTTTTAAGAAATGTTCAAGAGGGAGCACAGCAGGTCAGACACGTCAGGCACCTCCCAGCCAGATGCAGAGACTGAGGCCCTGCCCAGGGTCACCCCACCATCCTTGTGGTTTGTTACGTTTCTCATTCTCTTGTCAACAGTCATTACCTAGGAGAGACGTTCAGATTACTGTTCTTGAAAAAAATACTTGAAAGAAGAATTTTAAGAATTTAATTCACTTGGTTGAAATAGGAAATAAGTGGCTGTTAGGGAAACACCCTTCCACGGAAATGAATAGATAATTCAGAAAGAGATATAGACAAAGAAAGAGCACTGTAGGATCTGAGCCTCAGAGGAAATATTGTAATTATTGTGCTAGAAGACAGAAGTGGGATGGTGACAGGACAGGAGAGAGCAAGTCTAAAACTGTGACAACCATAGGCCTTTGCTTGTACTACCTTCATTTATCAGGTTAGAAGAAAGAGAAGGTGGGAGAAAGGAGTGGCCAGCCTCACTGGAGCTAGTGGGGCATGTGGCTGGGACCTCCAGAACTACAGTGAAGTGTCAGGAATGGGACACACCAGCCTGTACAATGGGGTGGTGCTCCTCCCATTAGTTTGTGTGAGGACCCCTCAGTGCCCCAGCAGGTGGTAACAGCCCCACCCAGGCAGGTAATGATAGGAAGGAGCCCGGTGCTGTCTCCTAATCTGCTGGGCTTGTCACAGGATAATGGAAGCAGCCAGGTAGAAGGTGGAGGGCCTCAAGCTCAAGAGCCCTGGAGCTCAGGTGGATGCTGCATCTGCTTCTAGAACTAGACACTGGGTTCCATGTTTGCCAATTTTTGACTTCAGTATAAAAATGACATAGTTTGAGGTGAGGGCTCTATAGCTCAGGGCTTAGAGCACTGGTCTTGTAAAAATGACATAGTTTGAAAAAAAATCCCACAGGAAAAATGTATTTCCCATACTTTTCTTTTAAGATGTAGTACTATTTTATACCACTCTCTCCTTTCCCTCCATACCCAGAATAAGTTGGCCATGACAGCTTCCCTTCGGTTCTGAGGACCATCTACTCAGCCCTTTCCTCTGCCTAGGACTCTTGCCCAGCTCCCGGGCCTCTCCCAGACTGCTCCATCCTCAGGTTTTAGGCATAAAGCCTCTTTGTCACCAAGGGTCTCCCTAAGCCCACATCCTCCCACTCCATTGCCACCCTCCTGGTCTAAATCCCCCAGTAGTCTAAACTGTCATG